TTATAGACTAATAATTACATTATGGGTTAATATATGGGTATTATTACTATTGTTACTGCCTTTCTGAAATTCCGTTATTTTGATAATACAATGGCAGTACTGTTACAATCATCCTTCTTGCTGTGTGATTCTGCATTCAATTTGCAGTTAGTACTTGGTATGAAAATTACTTCTTAATTCAATTATACTGCCCTAACACTATTAACCTCAACTAAATGCGCACATTTAGAAATATTTCCTAATAATATAACATTTAGCGTATAAAGGTAATAGGTATATTGAGACATTTTTAACCACTTAAGCCGAAATAACTAATTTTGCCAAAATTATGTCTCGATACGAAACAACATACAAAATCTGTCAGTGTCATTACAAATTTATGCCTTTTCCGTTTCCCCTTAAACAGAAGTTACAATAGTTCAGACAAAAACAGGCTTACGGTAGGCTGACTGTCCAACTACAAAACAATATGTCTCTTTATAAATGTCTGTAGTTGTCTACTTACAGTAAAACAGGATATAAAAGATGGCATAAATTGTTAAACAACTCAAGTTTATGGTCAAAAGAACTAGGCTTCTGATTAATGAGATGATAAATTACTACAATTTTGAATCAATATGCAAAGTTTTTGTATCCATCTAGATGGCATAATTCGTTGTCACATAACGTGTGGTTTACTATTAAGCATATTTACATTGCGTAATACAAACCACCAGTTGAAATGTTCACTGAGATTTCAAAACAAACGCCTAAGCCTCAGGCGTTTTCCTATTTCTACTAAGATTTGGTGATTGTCTTGGGATATATGTTATACAAAATGGGAACAGTCATTAGCCTTGCCCCACAGTAGTCTTATAATTTTAACATTATCGTTTCCCACTGATATAAGAATAGAACTTGTTCGCTGTGGTACAGCATAATTCTATTATGGGTAAAATTTATTTTGATAAAGTTTCACAGTGTCATACACTATTATTTACTGATGACGTTTCGAGCACAACTTATTGCTCATATGCGCGCAATTGTTACGAAATTCAGTTGAATATTATTGGCATTTTCAAGAATATTATATTGAAACATTCTTTAGTTTTCTTTATGTAGCTTATAGTAAGTCAGTAAATTCACAAGTTGGCGTTTCACAATAGCCTGACAATACTGAGATTAATTATATTAGTCGTATTCAGTAACACAAAACCGTTTGAAATCAAAGGGTCTGAAAGGGTAAGGTAGTGAATAACTATGCCATGCGCACTCTCATTCAATGCTAACAATTTCTGGTTCCTTTTATTTATTTATTTCTATAGCAGAAAATTTTAGCATGCATGAACCAATGAACCAATCACTCAACAAATATCAATTTTTCAAATTCTACTAGCATATATCAGACAAACAGGCCGCGCCAACTTTCATCTTTTCAGTGTATAATTAGGACGGAGGCAATGTGTAACCCTGATGATGCTGGGAACATTCTTCCGTAATATTTGGAAATGAAGATTATAAGAGTAAGCTTTGTTAACTGATATTCTTCCACTACTCTATTAATCAAAAAATATTTTTGAGGAGGAACGCTATGAACTTTTGTTTACGGAAAACACTGTTTTTGTGTGTACCACACAGTTTTAGGTTATCGTATTACTAGAATGATGACATAAAATAAAACGAAGATTATTCAAAAAGAAAATTCCTTCTGTTTCACTAAAAATGCGAAAAACTTTCAAACAATTAAAACCTTGGTTGGTGAACTGTTTGAAGAAGGCTAAAATGACGGTGAGCAGTGTTGAGGTTAGGCGTCAAGTGCTAGGTAAGGAGAGGAAATCAATCGACAGGGTTGTGAAGCTACACTAATTGAGATGGTTAAACATGTGTCATGCATGCCTGCCTAGCCATCGCCTTCCTCGATGGGCGATGTTAGCTGACCAGATTGGAAAAGAGATAGTGGTGGTGAAACCAAAAACATGGGTTCATCAGTCAGTGAAATCCACAACAGTTAGTTTAAGCCACCTAGGGAGGTGTAGACTTCTTGGTTGGTGTTCTCGAGGTGGTAAAACTCAATGAAGACTGGAGACAATTGGTGATATGGCTCAAAATCGTTCTCAATAGAGCAGATGCATTCACTTCTTTTGATTTGTCATATCCAATAAAACTGTTGTTCTTCTTCCATATCACTATTCTTTTTGCTTCATATCTCTGTTTATTATCTCTCTTTACTCTGATCTCTTGCTTTGTGGGCTACACGGGGTGTAGCAACTCAAACTGCTGCACATCTATCTGTGCAAAGTTCTACAATGAAATCAGTCCGTCAAAAATGATGGTAGAGAAATCTGAATTTATTCAGTCGAAGCGAATAGTGTTAGTTTTATGTTTTGTGGTTATGTTTGTCTTTTACTGGAATTAAAATGTGATTTGAACGGGTAATGTATCACGCGAATATCAGTAACTGCTAAACTGGTGAAACATGAGACAGAAGAGATTGTGAGTGGGATTACGTTATCGTACAGGACGGATGGGCGTTGAATTAAGCAAGACTGCAGTAGACGGGCAGATTGCATGTAATGATTGTTTTGATGTTGCAATCTAAGGAAGCCAGTGTTCTGATAGGTAAATTAATGTTTGAACTGGGTTACGAGATTTCAATCTTCAAGTAGTCATGGGAAAAACTGATAGAATGCGGAAGAAACTTATGTTTCTAAAATTGATTGAATAAATTTGAAACACAGTAATTGTGCATTTAAGATTAGCTAAGTGTAATCAGTCCATTGATTAACTCTTAGTAATCTATGTACATTCACATTCTAGAATAGTCATATCACAAAATTATTTTCATACATGAAGGTAACTGTATAAAAAAATGAAAGACACTTCAGAAAGATAGACATGGAGTGAGGGGAACGAAATGGTGACAGAAACCTTACATATAGGTGATAAAATATATATAGAGAGAGACTAGCATTCAACAGACGAAACAAGTAATTTCACATCACTATCTTATTACACAAAAAGATAAACAAAAAACACTAAAACATCGATTATCATTATTAGATTTTCACATTAAAACTTTGACTAGCGCACATATGTGTACAGACACACACAAACACAAAACTTGCGTACACACATTCTGCAGGACAATTAAAGTAGGTATATAGACGAATTGAAAATTGTACATACACTAGGTATACAAATGATTCTCGCTTTTTTAAACTAGTAAACCTTGTGGAAAAATCTTGAATTAGTTAGTTAGATGGTCATCTCTATCAGACTGGATTAGAAAACCAAACTCGACACACAAATCACAAGCACAAAGTGATGCCAAATTTATCGAATTTGATGTCTGAAATATTGTCAGCAAAGAATAAATTCAACATAGTGCGTGTGTCTACACCAAGATAAATATTCACACATACATTCGTAAAATGTGTTGTGTATCTGAATATATATGTTTGTTGTTGAAGTGGACTGAAAAGTAAACGGTGCATTGATTGAAAACTAAAGAGAAATTAAATGGCCAGTATTATTAAGTAAAGAAGAAGAAAAAGTGAACGATATAAGTAAATCAAAATAATACCTCAGAAAATCGAAACTGAGGTTTTACTTCAAGTAACTAACTTGTATGTGATCAGTTTTATGCAAAACAATATCAGAAGATAAACAACACATTAACACAGATTTTTTTGTATAAAAAAAATGAATAAATGATGACCATTGCACAAGAAGTGCCTTTCTCATGACACAAGTGGCCTAGAATATATAGCGCTTTCGAACACCATAACCAACTGAGGAGTGCAGGTACATCCAATTTACGATTCCCAAATAGGACGAGACACTCATACTGGATTCCACTGCTAGTCACCATTGATCGAATTAGTTAGACACAGATTGGTTTGATATTAAGACATACGGAAAGTAGAGAGAAGACATCAAGTCAGAGCTATTCTTATTTTAAACGTTTCAAGATATTTTCAGCCTTTTAGTTGTACATACATACTATTTAATCACGTAGCTTGGGCACAGTATTGGGGACTCATCCAGTCGAAGTGTTATTTACTGGGATGACGTTTTGAACACAACATAGAAACTCGGTTTCTGTCGTTTCTTTTTCCTCAAGTCTATCTGCAATTTAGCATTAGCGCTAAAGTCTTTAACTTAACGTGTTTACAACATCTGAACAAGGAAAATGATACAACGTAAACCTTTTAAAACAATTTAAGAATGCTATGTTATTAAATAAAAATGATATCTAACTCCCAAGAAAATGCCATACATTAAAGTAGAGAAATAACTGATCACAATGCTACAGTATGGAGTGAAAGAAAAGTTTGACTAGTTGTAGTGCAACGATGAAGAGCCAACTTAGATGAATGAGCTACGCAAATAAGTGCTTCCGAATAAGGCTAATCAGTCACCCTGTTTGTAATATTTCAGTGATCATCGGCATCAATACAAGTAAAAAAGGAATGAAATTATAAGATATTCAGTGAATTAAGCGGTACGATTAATGACAGTCAAAAATTATGAGAAAACAGACTTGACTGTTGAATTTTTGAAGACTTCACGATATCGGATATAATATACACACATGTGGAGATAACCTAGCAACTATATGTGCGTTTATAGGTCACACAACGGATACTGACACTACCTGAACTCTTGGAACACACTAGATAAAAGAAAGCCACGGTCTATGATCACCAGACTGGCAAATCAGTATCTAGACCAACTAGAATATTTTAAGACGTATTCAATTCATAGGATGATGGCGACAATTTTTTATTGTGCCCAACTTTAAGCTATTTAATAGAAAGATCATGGTGTACGATTCGAGCTGCTTTTGGATAAAATCACCAACTACAACTTATGTCACCGAAACTTTGTTTAACATTTATAAATTAACTGAAAAGAAAACATCAGTGTTAACAAATACAGTGTCATATACATACAATAGTAGTTGAAATAAAACATATAAAACAGTACAAAAAATTCATATATTATACTTTCTTACTAACCTTACTACCTCGTACTCTTTTAGGCCGAGCAGTTTTGTTCGCTCCAGATGTTTGTTTACTATTCACTGAATTGCCAATTACATTCTCTCCAATAATTCCGAACATACTTCGATCACTGTCAGTCACATTACACTGATCTGGTACAGATGAAAAAGTAGGAGTTGTATTCATATGGGCAGTGGATGTCACTGTGATAGGTGGCATTGCCATAGAAGTAGGATTGAAAAATGATGGACCAACTGAACGACAAGGCAACATGGAAGCAGGATGGTGATACGGTGGGGGTGCAGGTGCTGAACTAGCCATACCTACATTCATTACATTAGCATGCATAGGACCATTTATAAGATTTCCTGGGATTGGTGAAGAGACTGGCATGGTCATCATCATTAGCGGTGAACTATTCGGGACAGAACCGTCAAAATCGCTTTGTAATCCAGACATCTACAATTTACAATAATAAAGAATGTAACAAAATTAGTACTGCATATATCACGAGTTGAGTAGAATAACATTTTAACTTAATTTAATAATCCACCCCCTATACTCAAGTGTACGAAAATTGGCAACAGAACTAATAGTTTTGAAATTCTAAGCATTTAGAGCAGTGCAGCTGACAGATGTAGTAAAAATATTTACAGTGGGAATGACTCTCAATGTGAGACATAACCTGACAGTTAACTAATTTTGGCTGAAAATACATGAAATAAACTGAATTATATGGTGTTCAATAACTCCAGAAAACTTGACAAAAAAACAATACAAATGGATCTATGTTCATAATGGGATGAGTTACGACAGGTTTCATCTGTGAACTTGAATTCAAAAGCTAAGAAATGATTACATCAAAATTCAAATTACTAGTTTAACTTGGCAGAAATTTTACATACCTGAGAGTTATTACCAGTAAAGGACGCTGAAGATGTAAGAGGATTCAAACCAGATGAAACATGGAAATTAGAGTTCAATAGCATATCACCCCCAGAAGATAATGGTCCGTTTATTGAAACTGAAGTCATGACGACATCACGACCACCAGACGAGATTGGTCTGCTAGGCATGTAACAGAGGTCACCAACGCCCGAGTTAACCTGAAGTAAACAAAACTCATGGTCGATAACAGCTTGTGACTGATGATTACTTTCAAAATTACAACCTTGAATTTAAAGATAACAAAAAAGAAGATATTTATGCCTGAAAAATACTGCAACAATGCGCCTTCATGAGATGATAGATTAACTGCTTTGTTGTGTACAAAAACAAAAAATAAATGCTATTCAGTTACTAACGTCTGTGCATAACTCTTCTTTTTCCATATTTTAGACTCTCAATTGGTTAATTATGTAACTTGTATTTTCAATATATCTACAAATCAAGAACATTAGGGATACCCTGATATACTTCTGGCAGATTTAACTGCAAATTAGCACATTGATGACACTACTTAGAATAATACCAAGTAGATAATTTCACCCTAAACACAAATAAGTACTCAAAGCATAGAAAAGTGGTAGCATTTTATAAACAGCCGATAGAAATGAATATAGTAAGGTGTCGTAGGGAAATAATCATACTGTCTTTCAAGAAGTCGAGACAAATGGATGCTAGCGAAATGAAAATAAACAAAATGATATAATGTAAGCTCATTCATCCAATGTTAAGATCTTAACAATAATGATAATAATAAGCCATAAATACGTGTACATTAAAAGTAACAGATTTCCAACACCATGGAAATTATGGAAACGAATTCCGAGGATACTTGCAGCCACAATCTCATGCGGATATATGCCCTGACATATTCAACAAAAATCTATTGAGTCAAAATAATATTTATAAATTTGATTCAATTAAAACCCGAAATGTAAAAATAAGTAAATTTTGTAGTAATTTACCGAATTTACTTGAGGGCCCAGAGACCGTGAATTGTTAGTTGGCAAAGCACATGGTGGAGTAGAAGAATTAGGCACAACTGTTTGACCATTGCCTAATGCTGTTGGTATAGCATGGCCCGTGGGTGTACAGGAGTGATTAAAAGCAGATCCTGGAGCCCCACTGACGCTACAGCTTCCAGTTGCTCTAGCATTAGGCGGGACAGATCCTGTACCAAGCATTTGAGATGAATTTGAGGGACAGAGGGAAATCGTAGATTGTTGAGACTGTTGTTGGGACAGTGAATGATGCATAGTAAGGCAAGCATTGCCTTGGACATCTCTGGGTGTGGTGGATCGCGTTACTATAGGTGCCACTGTTTGAGAGTTTACTGCATTGGGACTCGGACGAAAAGCTGGTGATGGTTGTGAATACTGTTGACTCCCATAGCCTGATCCTGAATAGACATTAGAGTTATTTAAAGGACGTGAATTATACATTTGTTGTTGTTGCATTCCAGGAGTAGATGATGGCACATTAATAGGAACTTGGGTGCGGCAACCAGTAGGCTGTCTAGGCGATTGACCAGGACAAGATGAGCCTGGAGGCAAACTGTTGTTAATAATCTGTGGAACTGAACTACATGTGGGTATAGATGAAGAATAATGAAGAGCTACTCCAGGCCCTGGTTGAGAAACGGAACACTCCGCAGAATAAGGCAGGTACAGTGAAGATGATTGGTAAGTTGCTATAAAGAAAGGACAATGTGAAGGCATCAATCAGATTTGAATCAAACCTATCTTGCAATCAGATCACCAACATTAAATATTAAGTGCAGTAATAATAAGTCGGTGCCGATCACTGATTGAATTTCAAAAAAAAGAACTTTACGCAGAATTCCACACACTCCATGTGGTACACAACTGTAGGCAAAAAGATTCAAAAGGAATATGATAAACAGAAATAAGGGAGAAAAAACAGTAACGTGGGAGATCAATGTCAGCCTTGCGGATATGGAGGGTTACAAAAGTGAATGCATCTGCGCCATTGACAACGATTTTGAGCCATATCAACAATAGTCTCCAGCCACTGGCATCTGGTATCCCGATAATTTCAGCTCGACAGCCATGTCGATTGACCAACCCACCTTACCTCAATAAAACTCACACTGTAACTCTTTAAACCGGAGATAGAATGACCCCCTAATGTAGCCGAAGACAGCTAGCCTTTCCATATCATCCACTTACATTGACCATGCTTTGCAGTCCTAAAGGAGGAAGAAGCGAAGTGCTGTGCAGTACATGCGCCGTTTCATCGATAGCCGCATACAACATCTACGTACGACATGATGTAAGTTGGTGAATGACACACAGGCTTTTTGAATACATGCTAAGATTTTGTCAGCCAGTAATCCATTAAGGTTGATGTAACATCCAAAATAAGAGAAGTAATCAACACGTTCAATCACTTCACTCCCTATCTTTAAGCTAGAGGTTGGAACGTTTCAGTCCTGAAACATGATCTTACTTTTGACAAAAGCGAATATCAAAACAAACATTCGAAGACTTCTGCTCAAAATGTTGAGAAGACTCTACATTTCATCATCGTCTTCACCTAGGAGGACAATACCACCTGTATACACCAAGTCAAGAAGACTGACCCTGGCAACAAGTTAATTCCTAGGTCATTAATGTCAGTTAGGATCAATCCCATCAGAACATCTATGATGAAATCAAACAAAATGGGGATAATGGGCATCTTTGACGAACACTACTGACCGTCATGATTTCAGATGACATCTCTCCGATCAGAATATGAATAGTTGCTAAAACATTCCATGAACCAAACAACGAGCCATTAAATAAAGTGTCACAGTTTCACAAGTCCAAAGGGATTTGTTACAAAAACAGTTTATGGAACTGGTACAGATATCAACTTAAATAGCTGCCGTCTACCCCAGACAGTAGTCTACATACTTAGCGACGACTCAGAAGTTAAGATAGATGATTCAAAAAGGACGTTAAATAGTAATTTAATATAGATAAACAGACGGGTTATAAGTAATTAATATGAAGACATATCCTATACGCTTTTATTTTGCATACAAATTTTGTTTCAACTTTTGGACCACTGGTACTTCATGTTTCTCCATATTGCATTAATTTCGTACAGCTTGAATAGACTGAGTGCAGCGTTTTGAAGAATGAATATCTTGGGGTCATGGAGCGTTTTCATAAGAATTTTGAAATTTATGGTTCTATTAACCAAACGAGCAAGATAGTATACGCAATTGAGAAGTACAACTCATGTGCTCAATTTCAGAGGAACACAGGGATATAGTGCAGTGTATTAGCTTGTCTCTTACAGACTTTCACGGGATGGAATATAATTCACAGATTACTAAAAATTAAGCAACTGATTTTTCACATAACCACTAATGATATTTGAAGTTAACCTGCAGTCTTAGATAAACCATTAAAGCTTAAAGGATAACAAACAATTCTGAGTATCAAATGTTCCCATTTCATTTCAAAATTTTTTGCAAAAAGCATTATCGCTAAGATCACCACCACCAACCCTCTGGATCAGTTATCTAGTGACAAATGATTTATTTGTACTTAGGTATTGTAGAAACAACAAATGAGGAACCTTATCTATGTTATCGAAGACATGCAGAATTTCCCACAGAAAATACTGAAAAATTAAATACAAATCACAATAGTTTTATAACAGACCCAAAAAATGGATTTGAAGGAAGAGGTGATAAGTTACATCAAAATGTTACTATTAGACTGATATTTATTAAATCAAAATCAAAATAACAGTTAGTGTGGGTTGTTGATTACACCATCAAAATAGTATAGAAATTAAAATGTGTGATTAATAATCAAAGTTGTAGCTAAGTGGGGTGAAAATTGGTAAGATGTGAGTAGGGTTACGTAATATAGACATGTTTAGAAAGATTAGATGTTCGTGAAGGAGTATGGAGACAATTATGAAAATAAACTAGATAATAGGTGAAAAGATTGAATGGGTTATAGTTACTAAAAATTATTATACGAATATTGCACAAAAAACATTTGATAACAAAATGTTGATGACAGATGAACTTGAAATTAAACCCACGGTAGTAGGAGGGGATGGAGAAGTTTCTTCTGTGTGCATAATTCAGGCTTTTCTATCCAAATCGCTAAGGCTTCGGTAATACAAAGTATACGGAAGCTTGTCGACTTTGGAAGGCTTCTTTTGGCTTTATAGATGACTTTGAACGACTTCTCCTTGCAGATCGAATGACCAATGTTAAGTATATGCTCAATAATGGAAGTGGTCACCACTTCCATGTGTATCTACCAATTCACCTGCTCTTGCGGAGCGACGTATATAGGTCGTTCGATGCGAGTTTTATCTAAAAGAGTTCAAGAACACTATCCCGCCTGGCTACGGAAAGGTAACAATGGAGCAATAAGGAGCGCCATTATTGAGCATATACTCAACACTGGTCATTCGATTTGCAAGGAGAAGTCATTCAAAGTCATCTATAAAGTCAAAAGAAGCCTTCCAAAATCGACAAGCTTCCGTATACTTTGTATTGCCGAAGCCTTAGCGATTTGGATAGAAAAGCCTGAATTATGCACACAGAAGAAACTTCTCCATCCCCTCCTACTACCGTGGGTTTAATTTCAAGTTCATCTGTCATCAACATTTTGTTATCAAATGTTTTTTGTGCAATATTCGTATAATAATTTTTAGTAACTATAACCCATTCAATCTTTTCACCTATTATCTAGTTTATTTTCATAATTGTCTCCATACTCCTTCACGAACATCTAATCTTTCTAAACATGTCTATATTACGTAACCCTACTCACATCTTACCAATTTTCACCCCACTTAGCTACAACTTTGATTATTAATCACACATTTTAATTTCTATACTATTTTGATGACGTAACCCTACTCACATCTTACCAATCCCCACCCCACTTAGTTACAACTTTGATTACTATTCACACAATTTAATTTCTTTATTATTTTGATGATGTAATCAACAACCCACACTAACTGTTATTTTGATTTTGATATTTATTATACAAACTATGCATCCAAAATTAGTACTAGTCAAAAGATACGGAGCTAGCAGGATCAACTGTAAACTTCATTCTTCTTGTTTTGACGAAGATGATCAAAGGAAGATGTATGAACATAAACGCGGTACACAGATTTCCTTGCAGAAAGAAGCCTTTTTTAACGAAGTTAAACAGTGGGAAAGTAACAACACACTTGAATAACTGTATAATAAGCTCTGTATAGTCCGTTGTGTTTCTTGTGACGCATTTTCAGTCTTTTCTTCTCGTGTCTCATATCAGCTATTTCCACACGACTATTCATCATTCAACTAATTAGCTGTTAACCATCTTGATTACATAAGACTATTCTTAATTTTTCAAACATGGTTACTACTCATGCACTTTGATTTGCCCTGTTATTAACTGACAATAACCTCCGACCTCTGTGTCAAATTACATTGCATACATAACCCCCCTCCCTAAATAACCTCACAGCTTCTTTGAAGTGAAGCTAAGAGATCTCTTTGTTGACTCACGTGTTCTTAATTAGGTGAAAAGATGTAACATTTACTTACTGGCTGACTCCGAAGACACTGCTCTTGTGGCAGGTGATCTACTAGAAGCATGTTGTGTTTGTGACATACTCCTATTAACATTACTTTGGTTGCCCATAGAAATATGAGTTGTTCGCTGTTGATGTGGTCCCACTGCACTGGAATTTGGGGTCGACACCAAGCCATAAGAAGGCATTGCTGTATTGGAAATCATTTGAGAATGGGATAAAGGACCATTCGAATTTGTGTTTCTGGTGTAATTTAAATTTGGAGACGACTCAGATGTAGGTATATTTTGTGGAACAATCTTATCCATGTTAGGATTAACAACCATTGTAGGATATTGCTGTTGTTGTGTTTGAAATGATGACACCTGTGAACTACTCATCATATCATTGTAGGACTGCTGTATTTGAGGGTATTGTTGTATTTGGAAATGTGACTGCTGTGACTGCATTTGTGGCTGTGGACTCATCGCACTAGTTGGACAATTTAGGCCCGTAGCAGATGCTGAACTATGATACATAGGTTGATTCGATGACATCGCCTGCATAGGTAATGACTGACTGTTTGCAACACCATAATTAAATGTTTCACGCTCTCTGTATAAATCGGGGCCATTCGCAATATTAGTCTGAAGAATTGGAGGATATGCACAAGCAGGCCTGATTTTTCAAACATAAAACAAAAAGACGATTAGTAGAAAAATTAACATCATTCAATATGGAAATTATTTATGTAAATATTCAACAAAATGTAATAGATGAAATTATATTATAGGAGAAAATTAACAGAATCTTTGTCCATATTTTGAACGGGAAATACACAGTTAAAAAGGAGATTTTATCGATGGTTTAATTAGTACCACAGGTATTCGAATATGATTAACTGATATGATGGCATTCTTCAGCAGTTACATTAAAATAACGTTGGTCTCAAGTAGAAACACAAACAAATCAGAATTCCTATGAACTGTAGGCTTTTTGTTCCAGCTGAGCATATAAATTGTTAAGACACGTTCAATGAATAATTCATGTTTAAAAAATATATATACATGCATGCTCATGTAAATTACTAACGATAAAGTTACCTTTATAATTCTGATTTGTTAAAAACGTAAAAGCCAACAACAAATTATATTCTATCACTAATAATATTGACAACTAATTAAACTAGATATACGATTCATACATGTAGATGAGTTTGATGACTGTAGTCTCAAACGGTTCAAAAACAGTTTAAAAGACAACCTTGAGAAATTCCCTCTCACTCAGGTCCAATCAATTTGTGGTCAAATCTTGACCACAGTTCATATGAATGCAGTTAAAGAGACTGAAAGTCATGCAAGTGAATCAAGAAAGAAGACTAGAATAAATTCCCAGTTAATATGAACAAAAAGTACACCGAAAGCGCGTGCATTCATATCGTAGCCAAAGAATTAGTAATGTAAATATTCTGATGTTATTAGTTGATAACTCACACCATTAAAGACCCATTCGAAACACTACTTCTTCGACAGGTTACTTAGTTATAGTAACTAAATCCCATTCGACAGATACAAGCTCATATAATAATACTAGACGAAATATTTCAACAAATAATTTTTAACTCAATGCCTCATTTGGTATAACGTGTGTGACAAGATTTACCAATGAATACAACTTGGACAAGCACGAAATATGATGGAGTTAAAATTCCTATCAGTCAGAAATGCAACATTTCACATCCCAGTTAGGTTCAAACACGGAACACTTTAGAACGGATAAAGATATTTGCGTGAAATCGAAAGATGGAAATCAATATACAGTGAATGCTTTGAAATGGAGTTATTTACACAGACCACCTACTGATCTCATAGTTAAGAGTCACATCTTGAACTAGCCAAGAGACTATATTTACGATGGTTATGTTACGTAGCAGTATTGATTACTCAGCTGGGTGATAAAGATTTCAAGCTTATGCATACTATTATTTTCCCCGATATAGGAATCGAACTCTAGACATTGTGGTAGGATATAGTTCTATCATGGGATAAATTTATTTGATAGAAGCACGATGATTCAGTTTTATTTAATATACAATAATAAATGATACTGTATCAGTGTGTGCTATTATCAAATAAATCTACTCTATGATGGAATTATTTTTTTCCCTTATCTCTGAAAGAAACCTCATTGGAAAAAGAAGACACGATATCTCCTAATTATCATTAGCAAGCATTGTTACGGTCTATTAAGTATTGAACACAGTGAAAAACAATTCAAAACACATGTACCAAACTGCGTGTTTTGAAAAAATGGGATCAAATCACACACTTCCTGTGAATGACATAATAAAAGGCCCAAGTTAATTAAGACCAATCAACTTTGCCAAGGAAGACAGTGAATATTGTTAGTGTTGTGTTTGTCAACACAGTGAATTTCTGACTGTGACATCGGCTACTTATCTTTCGCATTGGGAAAGAATATTTTTACAAAGGAGAGTAACAGTCGCATTACAGATAACATATAAGCACACCTCTCATCAATCTAGGGCAGCTAAATTGACTGCCCGAGGAAGGTTAGAAATCTTGAATAAAAAAACAAAGAATAGACATTAACAAACTTATGCACAAACGCGCAGACAAACAATTATCACTAAAGGAACACCCAGAGCAAAATAAGTGGTGAAGTAACGATTTGCATGTTACTAAAACACCGGACATAAAATTAAAGACACGTAGAAAAATTAATAAAGATAGATAGATGGACAGATGGGCAGGTAGCGAGGCAAAAAATAGAAAAACTAGTGAAAATGAGAGTGAATTACTTTGGTTATAGGCCAATCAACTGAGCGATCAATGCCATACTACTATTATTTATTATTATAGCAATTTACAGTGGACGGTAGGTGGCAAGTGCAACTTGTATTTGTAAATTCGCTGAGACAATGGTACATCACAAAACTTAACCAATGAGGCGAACACTGAAAATTCAGCGTACTGATAGAAGAATTGAAACATGGTTTAGACAAGGATTTTTGTTGAAATGCCCCAATTACCAATGCTCAAACAAAGATATAATCAAAGAATTACTGATTATACACATGGTAGAGGTAGTACAGTAGAGAGGAGCGAAACAGGAACTGGCATAAGTTGAGAGTAGGCGAAAAAGATATACACAGTTTGGTCACGAAGTTTATATCTACTCGCACGCATGAAGAAGAAACTATCACTAATAACTGAAAAATTAACTGCGTAAAACAAACAGTTAAAGTTGCTAAATAAGACAATTGCAAATACTACAGAAACAGGAGACAAGTAGTACTGAAAGGGCTTACAAATCAGCGGACGATTTTCGCTAAAATATGATTAGATAACAGGTAAAGCTATTCAAATCTATTATCTTATTATATCTAAATGTCCTAGACAGAACTACTTTGATGTGAATTCAGACATTCCAGTTAGAAAAAGAGAGAAACCCAAATCACATTACATGTGAAAACAGGAGGGGAATAAAAACATACCGTAAATACTGCAATCGGTATGATCATAAAAAACATTTATGAGGACTGATAAGTCCGGATATAAGTGCATAATGTAATGTAGAAGCAGGAGTCAGTACCATGTATGAAATATGGAGAGTTGAGAAAAGGTTTTTTAATATATTGGATCATTGCTGTCAGGATGTATTTTTGTCGCATCTTAAATGCCTGAACTATTCGTCATATTTTGCAGTTAAGAGACAATGAACGGTTAATTTCATTCTTAAGTGATGGCAGTAGTAACATATAGTTGATGTGATGTCTTAAATAAAGGGGAAGTATGGATGCACATGTAATGCTTATGTAAATGATTCTGAAAATGTAATCTAGAGTTTCTAGTCTAAGACTTTAATAGCTACAGGGAAACAGCTTACAGTCCTCTCCTTGACATAGGCTATAATTGAAGACTTAAGAATTAGTACCTAGGATTTGATCTATCTTCTAGCTACTCTCAGATTACGGATAAGTATGGTTAGCACGGGAAACAAGTACTTAAGCCTCAGGAGATCATAGCTTCATTGCGTTATATGTAAGACACCAACTTAAGATCCGACTGATAATTAAACAGAAAGCAATGTATAACAGAATTAAGCATCTTAATTTGTCAGGCGTAGACAATGTAGGATATGAAATTCATGCCCTGAGTTTATAACGACACAATGAATAAAGGCTAATAAGAAGAAGCGAGGCAGTTACTGATATGATGGAATCAAACAGTGTTAATCAAGAGCCTGATGAACCATACTTTCACGATGTACATGTGCATTTCGAATAGAGTGTAACGAAAAAGACAAAAAGTAGAAAGCGGTTAAAAATGAACACTGGGTAAAAAACGAAAATGAGAAAGAAAAGACGAACTGTGGAACTATGTTTACATTGAGTCGATTATGAGGCAGCTAAGAATCTCTCAAACCTAATGGAATAATTTAACGATAACACTTAAAATTACCTCAGCCCATTACAGTCGTCCAGATGAAGTGGCTGAATGGTACATGACCTTGCCTTGTAACCTGAAGGTCCTGGGTTCGAACCCCCGGAACGTAAATATGCAACCCAAGAAAATAACAGTTTCAGTTAATTTTCAAGTCCCCATAGGCTCTATAATTTAGCTAGATATTGAAGAGATAGACTTGCTGGTAACCAGAAACTGTTCGACAATGAAACATCGCATACTCATATTTGTCAAGTGAGAAGCATAGGCACATTGTATTGCATTACAGTTTTAAGCTTTACGATTAACGACTTTATTTTTCAGACAGTGAAATAGTAATACCAGTCTATGTAAAGTAAAGTTGTATGCAGTTAATAGGCTGAAGATATATATATATATATATATATATATATATATATATATATATATATATATATATATATATGCCCACATAAAGAACATATGGCCGAGGGTGGTTCAATTTCAATCTTCCTCTCAAAATGCTCTCACTTGTCCACGCGTTCAAAGCCTCTGCCACGTAAACCTTATTTAGCGGCTTCCTTCGACGCGGACGCACTTCAAAAACGTAAAACGGAGAATTTGAACGCCTGGAGTGATGGATATGCAGCAGGTCTACTTAGAGGAGTTGGAAATCCCTAATTTCAAACCTATGGCGTACATAGATTCCGGAGTCCAAACGGCTTGCATGGTGTATGAACCTGTTTTCGGTCATCAGAAACCATGGGAACACAGCTCCTGACGTTGCTGCACAACTTCTTGGATCAGACTTAAAGTCAAAAGCTCTTAAAGGTGGTCTCTTAAGACAGCCACCTGCTTTGATCTGGGCGTTCTGTTAGTATCCCAGCGGTTGCAGAAACTATTTAGGCCCCTCTTTTGGTGCCCATAATGTATCAAGTTTGTTTCAAATAAGTTATATATATATATATATATTCACAATCATTTGGCAGTGTCTGATACTATAGTAATCGCATAATAAGGAACTCAAGTATTTCCTTAAGAATGATTGAATAGCTAAATCTGATTAAGAGAAAAAGATACGATTACTAGAACCAGAGAAACAGAAATGATTAGTCTGTCTACAAGTTTCATATCCCATTTTTAAACAAATAAAATAGGTGTGACTAGTCCGCAAATATCACATAACTGTACAGTAAGCGTGTCTCTCCACTTTCATGTCTGTTTTCTATTTTACTGTATGAAGCTCAGCTGATGAACTAACTAGAGAAGTTGAGGCGTAACCAGATTTTGGAATACTTATTTAAGGATACATTGTGGACAAACCTTTAAGGACATGAACATACATAAATACAGTTTGTATGTGCATAAATAACACACGAATTTAAGAGACATTAATTCCTTTCGATATACTGAAAGTATATATGTAGAAAGTTAGTTGACATACTGGTTAACATCAGAGTAAAATAAAATTCATTAAATGAGACAATTTGAAGATATCAAACCAAAAAATAAAAGCTAAGTAATGGGAAATTTTACTCGGCAAAGGTTCACAGGTTCAACTGAACTAAATAACGTGACACATGAGTAGGAACCAACTTAGCCAATAAACTTTCCGAAGAAAATAAATGAAACAGGAGAAAAGCGAATCGTAAAGTTACCAAACTAACAGCATAATTGAAGTAAAGTCAACTGCTATCTGATTCAGGCACAAAAAACTGTAAACGTTGGTTGAATGACATGAAGATGCCGACAATTGAAAACCTATAAATTTATCATTACTTATAGATTAGAGAAAGTATACCTGGTTATTATAACAATACTCTTATCTAGTATTATTCGTTAAATGCACCAACCATAACTAACGCAGACGTGAAGGAAATAACAAACAAACAAACAATTGAAATGTCGTCTCCTGGGTTTGTTAAGATTTATTGTGGTCATTTGCTAAACAAGAGTATGGATTAAAAGCTAATCTGGAAGTGTCTCAAGATTTGACCAGCTACAAGAACGCAAGAATACTCAACGAATGGACAGAAATGTGTCTGGTTTCTAAGGTTATTTAACATTTACTATTATGATACATGAAAAAATTAAGATAACTGAATACCCATGTATTGTCTAGCTGTTTCCAGCTAGATATTATTACCTTAAGCTGGATCAATGCCAAGGGAATGTAAAATAGTTGAAAACATTCCTATAATCTGAGATAAACATTAGGGATTAATATTTTCAAACAAATAATACGAGATGAATATCAAGCTTAAATTAAACGTGCATCACAGCCGATACACAAATAATATTCCTTTTTATTTTAATTAGATGTACCATTACTAATTTACACCCATCTTTATTAATGCAAATGCAATGTAATTTTCTTTGCCGAGACCTGCAATCTTCTCAGATGATTTTGATAACTGCCAATGTCTTGGTGTTCATTTCTCTAAGCGCCACCATCTCGTAAAATTGCAAAACAATACTGAATTTTAAAGGTCTTCATTTCTCATTCTGATTCAGATTTGTAAAAATGAGCCGCATTACAACAAATAGTCCAGACGCAGCTTTTGAGATTTGATTTACATCCTTCAGCTAGACTAGTCAATGTTACCTCTAAGATTAAGCGAATATGTTGTCTGTCACTTCTGCAATTCAATAACCGTCATATGATCACAGATTACAATAAAAAGCAAAAATTAGGCTGACTAGTTTCTTTCTGACACGCCATAATAAAAATAAAATACTAATTGGTTTACACAGGAACAGACTGATATTAGACTTATTCAGAAATTCTGAATCGCTTTCGTAATCGGAAAATATGCTCAGAACTACCATTTATCCGACCTTAGCTATTCATATATCTGAAATTTACTAACGCTAAAAGTCGTGGCAGAGGCATGTATGTGTTAGTGATTTCCACTTGCTTCCTCAATTGTTTGAGATGTTAGTTACAAGCAAATATCCTACTGTTTTTAAACCACCATATTAACCTTAGTATGTTTCGAAAACAATAATGACTTGACCACTGATAAATCAACACATGTAGTGAGTCATTTAAAAAAATTTACAATAAAAGAATGAAAACTTACCTCATTATTATATAGTCATATGTGCAAAATGTTCTCAGGAAAAAACTAGTGTTTACACAGTGATAAGGCTAAAACGTTTACGTAGCTGAAGGCGTCTCGCATATTACTCAGACAATAAATAACCCAAAATCAATCCGCTGGCTCACAAGTGCACCAATGAATATCACTCCAACAATTATAGTATGAATGTTTGGTTCAGTAGAAAGTGAAGAGTACTACGGATCTTGGTAAAGTTTCTTGGATCTAAAAAACAACATTCGTAAAAATAGTAAGAATATTGTGACATAAATCTAAATATAGGTTTACGGTAATAAAATCATTTGGGGTGTCTATAGGATTTCGCGACTAGTGACTCGAGATTAATTCTAGTGTATTACATGGCTACCCATCCATAGTTTCAGATTAGTTAATTTCGTCACAAAAACCAAATGACACTAAGCAGCCAAATGGTCACAAGTGTGCAGCATAAAGTAGTATGCAAAATGCCTTCATCTACTCATGTGGTTAGGGCCTGGGTGCATGAAATATCTTCGAACTTTCGAAACATTCATTTCAACAACTAATAAAATTAATGAACCTAGTGATGATAACATGATAATAGATATCAAATGCTCAGTATGGGATTGCATTGTCTAGGTGACAAACTTTCTGGATGTTCAGGCAATAAGTGACGCCTGAATGGAATATATATAAACTTTATGAATAAAAAGACTCTGTTACCAGCAGTGAGAAAATCTGTGTACACTGTTAGCAGGTAGACACGAGATGTCTGACATCAAATCAAAACAACTCGTAGGCAGAATCAGAGTCAAAACACGATCCTCCTATATGGGCAATTCCATCGGATTATTGATGACTTTTCAAAATTTTGTTTTACCAGTAAAGGTGAAAAGAGCCATCATTTGGACACCATTTGGAAAGCTTAGAGAACTTCGAAGTTTTAGGTATTTTTCTGGCTACCAAGTAATTATAAGATACGTGACTAATAACTCACGCCACTTCCATGATAGAAAAAAAAACACGAATTTCTGTAGGGAACAGGAGTTTTATAAAAATGATCTATAGATAAATGAATGGTCGTGAAATGAAATCCTTAAAACGCAAATGTAAAGAGCACCAGTTATTTGACAACTGAAGCAATAGCTACACCTCAAATATTTGACCAAAATGTTGAGCCTAGAACATCACATAAAGGTAAAGACTTATCAGATGTATTATTAACTAGATGCTAGAATATCTGACACACCACCTAATAAAAGTGCACTTTCATGCAGGCTAGCATTACAAATCATGAAGTATCAGTCCTCAAGGCAGAATTTGTAGACCCAGTTTGGCGTCGCAAACAAATGTTGGTACGTAGAGATCCGAAGATTAGAAATATCAACTTCACATTAGTGAAAATTCAGTAGAACGAATGGCGATTATTGTGTCTGTCGAGGAAAAAATTCAATAAAACTGTTAAGGATTAAGACGGACATAAATTCCACTGAGTAACTAATGATCAAACAAACCAGCAAAACTGCAATCCTATATAACACCAAGGATTTATTTCAATCTGGAAATATCATATCATTTATATTCGAAGACCACAGGTGATTTTCACACATATAAGAGCAAAGTCATCGACCTTCCCGATTTTAATAGAAAAGTAGGGAGATTACTATGAATAAATTATAGAAAATACTTTAATGAACACGCGTGGTAGGCTTTGAATTTCAAACTGCTATGGAAACTGACCCAAAATTATGACTCCTTGAAGGTGCAGGTAGGTTTCACTAAACTGCCGCAGCAAATACGTTGCTTGTGTAAATAAAAAGTGAATGAGATATATCGTGTCCACATAAATTAAGATGTTATTCATCAGCGATAATTTAAACGTAGTAAACCAAAATACGTTATAGGCTTGAATTGTATCGAAAATGAAAAAAATTGAAGAATCCCAATTTTTATGGTAAAAATTGTGGAGGTATGCTCACCATATGCAGTAACAACACGGTAGCCTAGGCCTCTTAACATATGACAAACTTCAAAATGCGCGGCAGAGTACAAGCTTTTGGTCGAAATCATCGCAGAAAAACAAACTCACGTCGAGAGAGGTTTTGATACAAACCTGCAGATATAGGCAGCTTAACCAAGGTTTCTAAGCTTAGTGGCCTCGTCTTAGCAGCTGATTGATTTTAAAGTATGGAAATGAATATGAAGTAGTAACTGATTACTCACTTAAGACAATAGTGTTGAAATTATATCATGCAGCTTAGATAGGAGAGGTATTAGATCTAAATAACCATATCTCAACGTGTGTGAGAGATCTGAGAGTCTCTTATACGTTTAAGTCCTAACGTTCCGCATGCCGCCTAATTTTTCTGCTTCATATCTGAAATATGTCTGCGAGGCCACCGAATCACATTGCACGCCAGGCCCTCGAGTAGAATCCCGTCAGGAAGAGACGGGTGTATCGTCCTACAGTTATATAGAGGAAATATTGTGAGGAAGAGATGAGAGGATTCGGTCAATGGTGGACCAAAGTGAAGAGAACGACAGAAAACAGAACAAAGTGGAGATGTGTTGTTGAAGCCCTATGTTCCACTCGAAACGGAAGGGAATAATAATAAAAATGTCCGAAAAATGGGCTTCCACTGTATGTTCTTAAAAAGATTCTGTTTGAATAGGATATACTTTCCAAACTATATCAGTAGGGAAACCTATAGGCACCTGTTGCGAGCCCGTAATATTCCAGAAGTCTCCTTAGCCTCTCATCTACATTTGACTGTAGTTTTTAGATAATTGTATAAACCTTGTTAGAGATTAACTTCATCGACGACAATCACAGAGGGTGATATAGCTGGCCATGATGCCTCATTTTCTCACGTCAATAGCTTTATAATCTGAAGTAAGCTAACATTAATCAACTGGCATGATTGCGCGACACCCTTACACCTTGAGTCCCTAATTTACATCCCTAAAATAGTCCTGAATGCAATATCTTATCCCATTTTCAATCGCAGAACCGACTAACTTCACAGAATACCAAAGTAAAAACCTTCGCTAAAGGTATTAAATATGGTATCCAGAAGTTTGTGAGCATCAACCGCATATTGGCCGGGCAAAAATTACTCGCATTAAAATAATGCCTATTAGTAGTTTGGAGGTAGTCCCTTATAAAAGTCTGTTAATAATGGCATTCGGGTAAATAAGACGGCAATTATTAAACAAATACCTTATTACCTCAATTTGACATGTTACGACTATGGCATTTTCCAGTCTTCTGGACACTTAAGCTGGCTCAGTCACCTGTTTAACAGCTCCGGTATTGGTCTCGTTATGACATTAGTTGGCACCGATAGGACTCATAGATGGAGTTGAACACAACCATCACAATTACGAGAACTATTCTTAGGAAGCAGTTTAGGATGTCTTTCTGGAGTGTGGGCACATCATCCCTTCTCGGGAAAACGGCAAAAATTACTTCATGGAGTCCTAGCCTACGTCGAACTGTGATCGGTGGAAGTCACAAAGTAGACATGAACTCGGAAAACGGGGCCAAATTCCTTTCTTCTAATTATCCGCTTTACACATGCAGATTCCTCTGGTATGTCCATGTGTTCCTAGAAATAGTTGTGATTCACAGGCTTTCCTCTGCCTGTGAGTCAACGTCATAAAGTGATTTCTAGTTCCGCTCTGTTCTAATCTGAGAAGGTATTCGGATTCTGCAACTCATTTGTCTGTCTAATGAGAGTCACAATGTGTATTTTTATACATGCAGGATGATTCGTTCGTTTATCGGAAATCATCGTTGGGATAAATACAAATGTAGCCAATCTGTGTGCATTATTGCAATTAATCCATGAATTATTGATTAAAAAGTAAACATCGGCTACCAATCTGCAGATAAAACGTTTCGAATTGCTGATTAATCCACATGATCAACAGTGGGGTGATCTTGAAAACGAATTCAGATTAGTTTGCAAGTCTTAAAGGTAACTGATCACATATTAAGGCAACAATTAAGGGATTGAAATACGGGACTGTGTATAATATGAGTGATACGTCAGTAAGGGGTTCAGTAAGAATGGTTCTTAGACATGTTTATTCTTGGCGGCCCGCTTAAATCATTGGGCGACCGAAATTACTTTCCTCCAAAATGCTTAATTTCATCTGTATTTATCATTGTATTAATCGCCCACTTATATCGGATGACCTACACATAAACTTGCGCAATGATTTAACTTGCTCCCATGTAAACGCTGTACAATTCTTCAATGAAAGGAAGACGTACTTCAGATTATTACTTTACATGTGAATCCTGTATGAAGAAAAAAGTACTTTGGAACCAAATACGCTGAAAATTTTCGTACCGTATGTTCGCATACTGTCTTAAATAAAGCTTTACCATCATCATTACTCGCAAAGCATGTATTGTATGAGACACGATAAACGAAGTCACTTTTCATAATAGTCAAATGTAATCTGCTATGAAAATTACTGATGGTCCACGAAGGGAAGTGATCTTTCAGAATCTGTATGGAGTGAATTGAAGTCATCTGGAACAAGACATTCATTAAATCTGCCAAGTCACTTGACATACCGAAATCATAAGTCATCATAGGGAAGGTTTGACTTCAGTTTGGCACTTCTCTACTAATATAGCACGTAGAACTGATCTGATCAGTGTCCATTTTGAGTGCCCCTATTGTGAAGTGTATACTTCAAGGAACGAATCATCGGGAGTTGTTAATGTAACGAAATAATCCTGTGATCTCGCGAATGCTAGTCCTGTTTTAACACAAACAAGTGAATCCTGATGCCTTAGGCCTTTTATTCAAATGATACGATAGCTTAAGTGACTAGACCAAACTCAGCTACCATTTTGCCTGATAAATATTTGGTTCCGATGTCGCACCCATTCAGGCAGATAAACTGGAGGATTTTAGCGGAATTCAGATTGTAGGAAAAGGCATTGTTAGTGCTAATTTCCAAAAGCTGACTGTCTAATCACCGTATAGTC